TAGGGGAAAGTACGAAAAATGTAAGCAACGTCTCCGGAAAGACTTGTTTTCGAACACGGCACTAGTTTGATGTGGATAACATATATTTATCGCCCTATCGTGTTTTAAAGCAAAATGGTACATGTTTAAGAAAGTGGAGAAAAATAATGGTAAATAGGGGCAAGTACGAAAAATATAGTGTCCGGAAAGACTTGTTTTCGAACACGACACCATTATTTGATGTGGATAATATATATTTATCGTCCCATCGTGTTTTGAAGAAAAATGGTACATGTTTAAGACAGTCGAGGAAAATAAGGGTAAATAGGGGCAAGTACGAAAAATATAAGCAACGTCTCCAGAAAGACTTGTTTTCGAACACGACACCATTATTTGATGTGGATAACATATATTTAACGCCCCATCGTGTTTTGAAGCAAAATGGTACATGTAATATCCCGATATTTTATCGGTATAAATTATGTTTTAGTTCCGATATAATAACGTTATCGTTTATTATTTTCGGAATTAATTATGTTCAGTCGAGATTACCGAAATTTATTTTCGGCGTACCGATTACGTTCGAAATAATTTTGGTAATTAAGTATTATGTTTAATTGAATAATTAAACATAAGATAAGTGATTAATTAATATAAATCACCATATTAGGGTTCAAATGCCGTGAGATATAAGGCATATTAGCCCAATTTTCCCTAAGGCCGTATGATATATATATTTATGTTCAAAATTTCCTAAAGTTCCTAAGTCCTAAGGAAGTACAATTCCTTCTCATTTCCTCAAGCTACGTGGTTTAATTAGCAAGCAAATGGCAAAAGCTCAAGGTGGCCACGCCACTCCTTCATCATCACCATCCCACACGGCCGAGCATATAAAGGGAGAATTTGACAAAATTTTCCCCCATTTCCTTAAGACATTTTCAGCACATATATTTCCTCCTTTCAGCAGCCATAACGTGAAGCAATCATCCCTAATTTTCCAATAAAATCACACGGCAAAGTTGAGCAGCGCACGGCACACGCAAGACAAGGAGTCACGCCCTATTTCGATTCCAGTCGAACGATCGGAGAGGTAACTCCTCCTTCAGCTTATAATCATATTAATGAGGTCATGATAAGGTTATATGTTTGGATTATATTCGAAAAATTTCTAGTAAAGTCATGCTTAAGGCCGAACATGTTTAAGTAAAATCTTAACCGAATTATGTCCATTTCAGTCCGGCAAGTTCCGAGCATCTATCGTTTATTTAGCCTTTATTCAGTTCATCATGTTCAGTCAAGTACGTTTTGTCGAGTAAAGTTGAAGTTTGGTCGATAAAAAGGGCCCAAGCCGTCGCCAGCGCCTATCGCGCATGGCCAGGGGCGGCCGCGGTTCATGTCCTAGTGACTTCAATAATGATCATGTTCATCCGTGTGGTTATGTCTTAAATTGCCTTAAAATGATGTTCATGTCATGTTGTTCTGGAGTTGCCGAGTATAAGGAGTTGTGGCCGAGAGACGGCGTATAGCCGTCGGCGGCGCACGGCGCGCCCGCCGCGGCCCTTTCATGTTCAGCTTGCAACGGTTGCATTTTCAGGTCATAATATCCATGTTAAGTCATGTTATGTTCAGTTATGTTAAGTTGGTCGAGATATTTTTCAGATTGGTCGAAGTATTGGCCGTAGGC